GGCGGGGCGGGGGTCTTTCTAAAAGAGCAATTAAGTGAGAAAAGCATACAAAACTTGGCTTGGAAATGGTGTGGTTAAAAGAATACAGAAGAGGGGCATGACCACAGTCTGCAAATATCTGAAGGATGTGAAAGTCAGAGGAGTGAAAATATGTGGTATCATACATGAGGGATTAATTAGGAGTAATTGGAGGAACCTAAGGAACAAAAAAATGTTGTCTGTGTCAAGAAAAGCTTACTGATCACCGTCACCCCTAACATTTTTGCAATTTTGCCAGGGTAACTGTTTTGATAGTATTATCGCAGGAAATACTTTGGGAACTCAGGGTTAAAGGCTACTTTAAGAATCTGAAGAGCAACCATTAAGTCAAAAATTAGAACTCTCTCTGGATATGAGATGGAGATGATGTTCAGGTGTTTCACAAAGTATACTAAAGCCTGAATCCCCCTGGAGGGAAAAGATTAGGCAAGAGAGCAAGTCTGTTCCATCTCACACCTCTGACTCCAAGCCCCTCTGACTCCAGAGCTCTCAATTTCAAAAAGAAGCCTTGACAATGGCATGTGGAAGTGACTGTCAAACCCCACAGATTTACTATACAGCGTGCTTGAAGAAGGTAATAACTATTAAAGCTCCCAGAGCATCCACTTGTATGATGCTTCTTCATTTTACATTCCTTCTTCCTGTCCTCTAACATTATCACATGCCTCCTCTCCCCATTCCCAAATGGCACTTGCTTAGTGCACTAGTGTAGCAGCAATAAGGCCTCAGATAAATATATCCAAAATCCACTGACTTCTATCAGCTATCTCATGAAAGGCTAACATATTTCTAGGGAGTGTGTTAATATATTTCATATGCCAACCAGACCAAAACACCTCATCTATACAATTGCTTCAAAGTTTGTTGATGCAGCACGGAAACAAGTGTTCAGGGAGTTTTGGGGAAGAAAACTTAAGCTGACGGAGAGTTTTAAGTCATTTATTTTCTTCTAAATAAGGGACAATGATCTGAAAAGTCTGGTGGAAGGGAAGAAAAGAAAAAAGAGAAAAAAGAGAGGCTTCTATGGCAGGCTGTTCTCTTTTTCGATAAAGAGAATTTTGCATTTGCTATACTCACTTTTTCCACATAGATACAAACGAGTGTACAGATACACATCCTGTCCTTTCTCCTCCTGATGCGTTGAACATAGGTGCTTTCCAGTAGAGTGGGCAGCCACATATCTGTAATGACACACCAGAACAAAGAGGAATACAAAAGCAGTCACAAGAAGAGCCTGCTTGTTTACACACCGAATTCACCATCAAGACTTTTACATAAGGAGAATGAAGTGGTAACAGCACACAGGTTAGTCAAAAAGCTATTTACTGTATGCGAAGGTTCAGAATCCAATAACTTTCTACTTTGTCATATGCCTTTTTAAATAGCTGAGAAATACGTCCTGTCAGGCTTAGAAAAGGATCAGAGACTATCAAGCTCTTAAGCTCTGTCTTTGACTGAGCTGTTTAGCAAGATTCCCTGCAAAGTGAAGTGGAGAGAGACAGGCACCTCCTTCCAGAAGACCACTCAAACCAGCGACCTCACTGACCTACCTTAGAAAAGGATGACCCATTCTCTACATGGGCTGACTTCTTCTCATTGAAAGCAAGGGAACTTCAATTCTAATTATAGACAATTAATGATTAAATGCCTGAAGGTGAAATGATTCCCATCCTGTAGTTTTCAGTGCAGTGCCTTCCACCTAGAACAGCCCATTTTCCCAACACTGCTAGATCACAGCAGGGTAACAAAAAATGAAAGCACAAGCAGAAAGAGGCTGATTCCAGCAAAAGGACTCCCCGAACACTTTTTAGCTAGCCTCTGCAGAGGCTGCTAGCTTTCAGAATAATCATCAGTGAAAGCTCAAGCATTTTGTACTCTCTAATGCCTCAGAAAAGCAGGCTTGAAAATGGCTTCAAACATTCAGCTGCTGACACCTTCAAGAAACCTCCTCTTTACCACAAAGATCTTTCCAGCCACCTTCACGACTCCAGCCAAGGTATCAGAACATCTGCAAAACACAGGCCTTGGAGCAAGTGCAGCCGATTCAGGTCAGGCACAGGTAAGAAGGATATCACACCAAATGGAAGGAAGAATATTTTGAAGAAGTAGTGAGACATCACTTCTGCTTTCCCCACGAAGCCTCTTTCACCTCTTCTATTAAGCAAGACTATTCTGCCAGTCCATTCTCAACTTTTTGACTGGGCCTGCATGTTTCTTTGGGAACCCCAGTCAGCATAAGAACTGCTTTCGGATATAGCCATCCTCTGTCAGATGACTGTACTTATACAAGTGTTTAACTACTCTGAGGAAAGAATGACATTTATTTTCTGCTGTTTTCTTCGTGTAGCTGGTTCTCTCGCATTTATTGCAGAACCCCAAAACTGGTACCATTATCAATAATCCCACGGAATGTAAGCAAGTCTTGCAACAGCTAAATGGCACGGAGCACATCCATGTAGAGACAGATGCAGAGACCAGACAGAAAGACAGAGGTCTCTTCTACACTACCGTCCTGCTTTTCCCAGTTTGAACCTGACAGGCCACACACAGTTGCCTGTCTTGTCATAAAATCAGTTTCAAACCTTTTTTTGGTCAAGCAAAGAAGTTTTTCTGTTTATGTTTTCAGAGATGGTTTAGAAATAATGCCACTCAATTCCTCTAAAAACAAACAAACAAACAACCTTGTCTCTCCTTTCAGAAAAATCTTCCTTCTTGGAAAAGAAGTGCTCCTCTTGGACAGAACATCATTGCTCAATCTACAGTGCCAAAGATGCATTCAGGGCAAACTGAACATATGAGATGAGTCTGACAACTGCTAGTTTTAGATCAGCATTACTAAAAACCATGGTTGAAGGAGAGGAAAATAGAATCACCCGTCTGCATCATGCTCCCACACAAGTGCTGTGTTTTGTTCCCTGAAGCCAGGAACTCATTAGCAGACTGTAACAACTCCAAGTCTGCTGACACCTGCATTATGGATATTGAACATATGCATCTGAGTGGCTGAGGGTTGACTAAGCATTTCCCTCTTCTGTGTCCAAGGAGGCGTAGGTTGGAAACTGCTTTCTCAAACAACACTGCAAAGATCATGTCCAGATTAGTGGGACAGCTAACCACAAAGAAGGTAGCTGGCACTACCTGAAGCCAGAGGCAGACTAAGTTTCTGTTATCTTCTGAGCATAACTATGGAGGCACAGAAAAACAAAAATGCAATTTGTTTCTGGTAAGAAATCCAAAAGAACCATTTTGCAAATCAAAGCAAGAAAAAGCATACACATCAGGTGTGACAAACAGCAAACTGAGCTCATTTTTGTTTACTGTTTTCTTAATCTAAACAAAAACATTCAGAGCAAAAGGATATTGTTCTTTTTTCACTAAAAAGAACAACAGCCATAAGATACTTTATTATTTTTAAATTCAGTCTTTCTCTCCAAAAAATGAAAAACAGAGAATAGTTACCTTAGCAATTTTCCCCATTTCACAGATGTTTGCTTTCTCATCCTCAAACTCTGCAAAGGCTTCTTCAATCCTGGCAATGATTTCTTCATGATTAGTGCAGACATTTGGAAGTCCTTTAGGGAAGTAGAAACGTGGAATGTTTATCGACAAAGGGGTACTGCTGGTGGCTTTATTCACAGGCAGAAGAGTGCAAGGGCTAACCGCAGAGTTCAAAGGGACTGGAGATGAAGTTCCAGGTTTCTTCTCTTGTTTACTTTGAACCTGAAAATATAATGAGTAACAAATACTTTTTAACAGCATGGCATAATGAGCAGGAGAAAATAGTTTGTGCACCCAGTGATTAGGAAAAAATTTAAAAACACCAACAATTACATTATAGCACAGGGATAAAAATGCATGTCTTAAGTACCCAATTAAAAAAAATACTGCAGTATCAGACATTGCAAATTTAGGATATGTCAACTTTCTGCTTTTACGTAGTTTCTGTGCATTTTACATATGTAGCTGTGGATTATGATATACTATTGAACCACATGAGAACACACTCTGCAATTCAGCAATACCATAGAGCAAGGACAATGCTATTTCTTCTCATGCTGGTCACTGTGTTGTCATTCTGCCCCATAAACAGCAAAGCATCGAAATCTGGTCTTTAGTATTTCCCCTTAGAACTAGAACATCCACTCACCCAAATGTCTTGCCTCATGTATAAGCAAACTTACATTCCTAAAATTGACATTTTCCATCCCTTGGCAACATAATTAGTTTTGCCAAAGTATCGCTTCACAGATAAATTAAGAAAATATTTGCAAGACTGTCTTCTAAATTTCAGGAAGCCTTTTACTCTATGCCCAACTTGAGCAGTCCAAGACCTGATTTTGTTTAAGGTACTATGTACTGTCAAAACAATTTTTACATTAGGAATTATGAGCAGCCAGCACAATTTGTCATTGGGTACCCACATGATATAGCTCATACTGTTAGTGCAAAATGCAAAAGGTCTGTTTAAAACTCCAGTTGGAAGAGTCCTTCTGCAGGCAAAGCACCCAAAGGTATCACTGAATCAGCACCTACATCATTTGCTGAAAAACGAGGAAAAAACTGGGAATTGAAACTAGGCCTTCCATATACCTGTTTGAAGCTGGTCTTTTCTGCCATGCCTGCCACCTCTTTTTTCATTAGCTCTACTATCCTATTACTCCTTTCCTGTCTGTAATAAATATATGGCTGATATGGTGATCCCCACTAGATCACCTTTTTAATGGATCTCTGCAATCTTCTAGTTCTAGCTATACATCAATACTTCTCATAAAAGGCAGCATTTGTATTTAAGTACATAATGAAATCCTAAAATAGGTAATTTTTCAGACATGGGAGGGAATATTCTTTAAACTTTGAAAAGTAGCTACAGTATAAGCAGCAGAATTTCCGAGGGATGACGAATTCCCTCCTCCCCCATGAATACACACTTTCTTGGGAAAAAGGCGATAGGCTTGCCTATTGCACAACGGTTCGATTGCAAGAGTTATTATTAATATAACAACATATGTGATAAGAGGCTAATAAGGCAACAGTCAAGTAAATACAGCTGCAACTTTCAGTTTGTTTATTCTAACTATTTCAAAACAAAATGGGTTTAGGATAAAGTAGCCAAGTCTGAGTTCACTAAATACAGAAGAATGTATATGATGAACTGACTAAACTCTTTGCCCTATTATTTTCCAGAAACTTAAAGCTTTTTTCTTAACACGTACTAAATATCCCAACTTGCCATTGGTTTGCTCTCAGGAAAGTGAAGAAGTGAGAATTGTAAAAGCTTCCTTAAGCCCTGTTTTTTCTGCATTTTATAATACTTTATAACCCATTCTTCATAGACCATGAGAGATAGAAGGATTTTCTTCCTCTTCACTCCTCCATTTCACTGCTCTTTCTTTAAATGGGGAGGACCTCTTCCTTCTTTCAAGTGCTGTCCCACTTCAGAAGCAGGAACACATGTGCTTGCACATACATGCCAGCCCAAGCATACTTTTGTACTGTAATTGCCCTGTACAGAACACATTAACCTGGAGCTTGGGTTCATTTAAGTCCTCCTCTCCTGCATCTTGCTACACGGGAACAGCTGAAGATCACTTTCAGCCTTCAGGTTTTCTGAGTGTATCAACACTAGTATTCAGAGTCAGTATGGTCCTCAATATAGCTCTCAACCTTTGCAGAACAAGACTGATTACCACCATCTGTTCTTCCTCCCTTCCTTGACTTTTCCTACTCTCCCACATACTGCACACCTTTGTGCTGATTCTGAATGACGCTGGAGCTCAAAGTGGGCCAGGAAAGAGGGTCAAAGGGTCTGAGGCTCAAAATGTTACTGGGGCTGAAGAGGGCTGTGGGACAGAGTAAGCATCAGCCCTGGTTACTCTGTCCCACAGCATGACAATGCAGGTAGGAGACCCGAAATGGTGGCAGGGGTTAAGCTGGGGGGGAAGTTGGTCACTCACTTTAGAAGCAGCAGCTCACTGGGTTAATAGAAGACAACCCTTCTCCTGGCTTCTTTTTTCTCTTTACTCGGTAGAGTAACAGAAGCAAAACCCAGACAGGCTGAATGTGCCTGGGAAGGGAGCACATGGCCCCAGACCAGCCACTGCTGCATGTTAGAGATAAAGATCCACCCGCCTCCCGTGGCTGCCTGCTTCAGTAAGGGAGGCTAAGCAAGAGGGGTGAATAGAGGTCCCCAAGACAGGCCTTCTCAAGAAGCCTCCAACTGATTGGGAAATAGTGGGTTAGTGAATTGGACCTTTGTGCGTAAGTCAAGCTAGTAATTTGGCTTGGAGGACTCCTCATACACATCACTGCTTCTGCTTCTCCAATCTGCCTCCCGCCCCATCTGCCCTGTCTAGCTAGTGACTTTTCCAGCCACAACCCAACTCTACTCAGTAGTTTTCACTTTCTGGAATCCAGCAGAGGGAAATCCCTGCTGGTCTCTCACAGCATCATATTCATACAAACAATGCAAAGCTGAAACAGACAATGAGGTGCCAACTCCAGCAACTTGACTTCTATAATAGGACTTAGCATCAATTTGTCTTGAAGACCCATTTCTCAGAAACAGGTTTATTGTTCATTAATCTCTTCAATGCACGCATGCACTCCTAGCTGCCAGGACTGTAGAAACGAAGAAATGACTCAAATTTAACAAAAAGGTCCACAAACCAAAAGGAAGCAAACCAACATATTATTCTCTCAAAGGACATTGACTCTTCACTTTAACAATATATCCCCTTCCCTTACAGTACAAGAGAATGATAAAATTGGATTTTTTTTTTTTTCCCTGGAAGGCAAAGAGGCATCACCAGAGCAGACCACCACAACAGCACTGTGCCGTTTTCCTCCTCTTCTGCATACCACATACATCCCAATATGGCACAAGACTCAAGCTCATCATCGTATAACACAACTCATCTGCTTTGGCCTGGCCTCCACCTTCTCAAAAGCAGAGCAACTCATTTTCCTCCAAGTACTGCCAAAGTCAGCAACACTTAGTACCAGCTCACATAAGCCACAAGTCAGGACCCCAGAATCTACATTAATTTCCTGAACCACAACACAAGCCAGAAGGTTAGACATCTATAGGAGAAATACAGGGAATGCTGCCAAGCTTTAAAGTAGGCAGCCAGTTCAGATACAGGTTTGCAGCTGACCTTCCCAGTAAGACTGAATCACTAACTCCTGCTCAGTCCAAGGCAAACAAGGTGGAAGCATTGCTCATGGATGGCTACTTTTCAGAAGATTCTACCAGGAACAGAAATAAGATTTTTGAACTTCGTCTTCTTCCTTCTCATGTAAGAAATGAGCTGTCTACAACAACACAAAGAGAAAACAACAAGCAGCAACTAGCTCTTGAGGATCCTGTTCCCTAGAACAATCTTGCAAGTTAATACTCTGGGATGGGTATAACCAGATGTCAACCACTATGGAGACAGCAGGGAGGTAATTACAACTATTTGTGAAAAAAATAAAGCAAGCAATATGAAGGGAAATTCTGTGGGAATTCCTTGGAAAAAAACAGTTTCTTATTGCAAAAAGTTAATCTTAAATACTGTTTGCTTAGTGGAACACATTTCTTCAACAGGGATGTGCATTTTCAGAAAGGACAACTAAAAAAGGAAACTACAAATACTGTAATAAATCTTTTAGCTTTGTTACCAATAGCTAACAGACTAACTTTTTTTTTTTGCTAAAGAGGAAGGTGAGATTAAACCTCATTTTTAAATACTGCTCTATAGCATAGTGTAATTTACCTTAACTTGAAATCTGTCTATCCACTACATCACCTTTGCCAATCATATAATTTATTTATGGACAGACTAAAATAGAGACATCTGCATTATAAATAAACCAGACAGAACTACAGCCTTATTGTAGCTACACAAACAAAGCACAGAGACTAACCCTCTGCCATCCAGGTCTGTCTATCAGGGACTTGCCAGTCCCAGCAGAAAACTCCACGGAAGGAAGTACTATCACATCAAGTGCTCAAACACCTTCTACTCCTTCCTCCTGGCCCCAATCTCCAACAGGAGCCTAGATAATAAATTTACCAGTTTCTTGTTTTTTTCCAAATGGGATTCTGTAATCCTCTCTTCTAGGGTACAATGACTCAGCCTGGTTTCTCGCAGTCCACAGTGCTGACTTAATGTCTCCTTCCATTTTTTACAGTTCCTGTCTTACTGAAGTGTGATGGTAACTGGACACAAGCCATCCTCAAGGATCACCAGTTCTCCAGAGCTGATTTGTATCTTTCGCCCTAGACTTTCTCTCTTCCTTTCCTTCCCTGAAGCCCTTTCCCATCATCGCGTCTTTCTGCTGCCTCTTTTTTACCCATCTCAAAGGGGGGTAAGAACAGCAAAGGTTCATCTGCACATGGCTCCTAACAGCACAAAGAGGACAGGCTATGAGAAAATGCATTTCTGGAGAGAATCTTTTTTACTATAAATCGTAAACTCACCAGCAGAAACAAAGTCCAATGGCAGCAAAACACAAATGAAAACAAACTTTATCTAAGCAACACAGAATCACAAAAAGATTTAGGTGGGAAGGAATACAGGGCTAACTCTAAGGCTAGATCAAGTTCCTCATGGCCTTATCCAGTTGAGTTTTGAAAACACAGACTTCGCATGCCTCCACTGACAAATGTGCCTATAGATCTTACACACGCCCTTCCCACAACTGATATACTTCAGCCCACACTCCACATGCTTCCCTGA